GTGACGGGAAGAAAGATCGATAGGTGATCAGTCTATCGATCGGCAGCCGCAAGTCAGATAACTTCAGAGGCACTCTGCAGCGTGCTCAAAGCTCTTCGACTTGGGCGGAAGTCGCGCGGAGTTTTAAACGGCCAGCGAGCCAATTACTAGCCGCCACGTGTGAATAATTTAGCACTGGCCAATAGCGGGGCACAAATTTACATCCGAATAGCGGGAACTCTTTGCACCGTGCATTTCTGTGCTGCAAAGAAGAAATGCATCCTGCAAAGGAAACTGCAAATTGGCGGGAACTCTCTCCTACACGCGGGTTCTGAATTGCAGCAGAACACTCTGCCGTGCAAAGGAGCTCTCATGTGGCCAGGAAATTCCATAGTGCCGAGGCACCAAAATCACTGGGTTGTGACACTCAGTGATTGATTTAGGTGTCCTAGAATTCTATGGAAATCTTTTCATTGCCTTCAGTGAGAATGTAATTGAGGCTTAGTAGCACTTGGTCTACTTGTCTCTATGGTGACCATATTCCTGCCTCAAAGCAGGACCTTGAATCTGGCTCCTTTAGGGCTAGGAAAGAATCTAAAAAGAGAGGGACCCCCCCCGCCCCAAAAACAGAAAAAAACCCAAAAAAACACGCTTTAGCCTGTGCTCTATTTCCCATATGTTCACAATTCCCAGTGCAGTCAGAATAAGGAGAATGTAGGGCCTACCACGGACAGTTTAGCCCTACCACCTTTGACAGATGCAGCAATCATATCATCAAGGAGGCTTATTAGCCAGACACACAATTTCCCTTTGCTCCTTCCATCTAGGTAGTCTCACTGGACACACTTAAATGGAAAATTTGCACCGGTAGAACCTAAGGTGCAATTTAAAGACTTAGTTTAAATTAATGCAGCCCCCTTATGGACAGTCTTATTTCTGCATAAGATTGACTTATTTTAGTGTAGTTTAAGTGGCCTGGGTACAACATTTAAATAAAGATAAACCACTCAAAACTGAAATATGTATGCACAGAAGAATCCACACTAGATTAATTTTATTGGTCTAAAAACTGATTTAAAGGTAAACCAGTCCAATTTCCTTGAGAAAGCAATGTGTTACCATAATTTTTAATATTCCTTCTTGTTACCCTGCTCAGGCAAAAGTCTGTTGTTAGACTTTGGACTTTGCCTGTGCTTTGGAACTGGAGTATATGCTGGTTCTGAGCTACAGTATCCTCTCTGCACATGCTTGTCTAGAGATAAGACTACTCCATTTCAGGTAAGCACAAAAAAGCATCTTGCTTTGTTGAAGAGATCCCAGAAAGAAAAACCCTATAGCACCAGGATAGTCCATCAAGAATGGACTGCATGTTGTGACACGTATGTGGATACTAGAGAACATACATGCTGGGAATGTAGAAAGAGCATTTTGTTTCATCTTCCACTGATGCAGCAGATCTGTCTGCAGGGGGGGAGGGGGAGAAGGGGGCAAGGACAGGGAAAGACCCCAAAACAGATTCCAGAAGGCTTTTATACAAGGAATGTAATGGATGGTTTCTCTGTGTGCATTACCATAGTAGTAAAAGTTACATGCATGGAAGACGCACTGGGCATGTCCTACAAAACAGCAACACAGTGTAACTACAGCCTAACCCATTAAAAAAAATAAAGACGTCAAAGTGCAGAACTCTGCTGAAAAATGTCTTTCCTAAGATAAGACTTTTACCCACTCTTATCACACCATCACCTGTGGCAACTGTCTCCTGACTGCTTTCGATTACAAAATACAAGTCAGTCTCTAGCAAATATAGCCAATGCCAAAATTTTCCTGCTTCAGCCTGTAACAGGTGTTAGGGGGAAGCTACATTGCAAACACATTCCTTAGGTCTCAGAAAGGGAACTGGTTACAAGGAAAAAGCCAGTATACTTGTTCAGAAAGTATAGTCTTTTTATAGCAGACAATTGAATAATACAGTCCTAAATGGGGGAGTTGGGTGTTGAACTACACAACTGCACATTTAACAAGTTGGACAAAGATCAGTTCCAGGGAATTGCATCAAAACTCCAGTCACTACAGGTGAAGACAAGTCTCCTCCAGTAGGACCACCTTTGTCCACATGAGCCAAACAGGATATTTTCTAACCCAGTTCAGTTCATGATGGTCTTGTTTCTTGTTGTGGGAGCCAATAATCCACAGAAAAACAGAGTATTAGTTTAGCTGAGTGGTTTGATCACGGATGCATATGGGTCAGTGGTTTCACGTAAGCATCTCCTGAAAGGATAAAAAGTTCAGCAGATGTAACTTGCTAAGAGCAGGAGAGAAGAGGTTCCTGTTTTCCAGATGGATTGGCAGATTTGTTTTATTACAGGATTGGAGTCCTTTCCATACAGCTATCTCCAAGAAGCACCACGGATTTGGGAACCACATAAACAACTTAAGTAATTACAACCCAGGCAAACAGACTTCAGGCCATGCATTCTTTCACCTAACCAGGACTTCTCTTATCTCTGCTTGGAACATGAGGCTCTTGACGTGCAACAAGCTTCACGGAGAAATTTGTCTTCCCAAAGGAACTCCAAATGCAGGGCAAATGTGGTGAGAAAAAGACAACTCTGTTACCTTGAGATCCTGTACTGAAGTTGAAATGCCTGTTACTGGAGGTGCCTTGGTGCCAACCCATTTATTTTTCCTTTGACAGCCCTAGCTGAAACTCTACCAGGGCATTAGCTTTACTTCCTCTTCCCTGCACCACAGTCCCATGACCTGCACGCCTAGCACTTGGGACTGTGATGGAAATAGACTTTGCAAACTGATATGGATTTAACCCTTTTGTGCCATGAGATGGGGGGCTTCCAGATGCAGGGCCATTCCCATTGTCAAATGCAATTCATGTGTCCCACTCGAGAAGCCCTGAGCCTCCCTGGCAAAGGGCCCAAATCTTTACAAGCAGGACAACATAAGCAGCAAAACATTTAAAAAAAGAGCTGGAAGGCACTGCAGTAGCTACAAAGTTCAACCCAATACAGCAGGGAACAACTGCATCTCTTTATTTGAGCTAGAAATACTCAAAGCTTCATTTGCCAACTGCATCCTTAGTATACTAAATTATATAGAGAGATAGATAAATACTTTAACAGGAATAAAATACATTGGATTTTGGTTTGCTCATTTTACAAGTGAGCTCCCCTCTTCCCCAATCATTTTGAAATTAAAACCTGAAGGCCCAGTTTATTCACTCAAGCTCATTTCCCAGCATTCCAGGATGGAAATAACATGAGAGGGGGCTGGAGATCAGAAACATGCACTCTGGCTGCAACAGGTTAAAAGGTGAAAGGGAAACCAAATATTTTTTCTAACCCTGAGAACCTAAGGAATTGTGAAGGACCTGGAGGGGAAGCTGGGGTTAAAGGTCACCGGGTTTTTTATTGCAGTTAAAACAGACTCGAACTGGATGATCCCATCCACGGGAAGGAACTGTTCTGCGGTCGTGGGAACACTCATCGCAAAACCCTTGGCCGCAGGCTCGGCAGTGGTGCTTGGAGAGCTTGACGTTGAATTCCTTCCGGCAGTTGTGGCAATGCAGGATTTCATGATCTGGTACCCAGTACATGGGTCTCGCAGCATCTTTCACGAGACCTACAAAGGATCAGAAAGACCCACCCTCATTAGCACTTGGGTTCTCAGCTATGGAACAGGAGGGAAGGGCCCCAGGCCCTGCAAATCATATCTGTCACAGTCCCTAATGCTCATTTAGAGTTCTGTCCACAGAACATCATAGACTAATAGGCAAAACCCCAGCAAGTTCAGGCAATTTGAGGTTTTTTTCCTACAGATTCTTCCCCTGCATAATTCAACAGCTTTTTTTCTTACTCTCTCTAAATGGTGGCACCTTTTGTCTAGACACTCATTTCAAGGAGGTGGGCTTTCTCTTCCTCATCGAGAGTTCCCTCTGGTTTTTGGCCATCTCACTGGACCAGTGTAGCCACCATCCTTTTTGGCATGCATATAATGATGGAAGTAAGCAAAAGCTTCATTCCCATTTCCACTTCACTAGATCATAAAAAGTGCTGCCAGCTATATGAGCTGATGACATTCTAGCAGAAGGGAGAAAAGGACTGATCAGCAATTAGTGCCGTATGATGCTCTCTACTGCCCTCCAGCTCCTGGAGATGTTTGGTCATTAAGAAAAGAGTGCAGCTCGACTGCAAGACAACTGTTAAACTAGATGCGTCTGCTGAGCCATTGAAGTTGCTGCATGATACGTAAATGGCCAGCACTCTACATTCGAGAGCTAATTTGCAGAGGTGCTCACCACCCTTAAAAACAGGGCCTCCAGCCATAAATTGACTTTCATTCAAGAACTGAAGTCTAACCAACAAGAATGGTCTAACCAACGCAAAATAAAAATGTTTCTAAATGAAAAACAATTGGATTCCCACAATGCCCACCAAGTGGAATGTCGATGGCAGTCACCATAGCTCCGAGAGTGCTCTGCACTGCCTCGCCGACCTTCCTGGCAATCAGCGTTCCACCTTCCTCATCAGTCTGTGGCTCAGACACATCTGCATGACAGAGTTAGTGTTATAGTGTTCAGCTCAAGTTAGTTAGGGTTCAAGACAGGACACACAATTTATGCCATGTCTCAATTAACATGTATTAGCAGAGAAACTAGTGGACCCAGCAAAATTAAAGTTACTTTGCTTTAGCAATACTCAAGGGGCTCTCTAGTATCCCAGTGCAGGCAAACAATACTCAGCCTTCACTTCAAATCCTCCTTGCCTTCCCTTAATTTTCTCAACCTTCACTGTTATGATTTCCCTCCATCCAAGTAGACAAAAGATCCCCCATCTACTCTAGCACCAACATCCCCTGTCATACTACTCCCAACTAGCAGGATGTGCTGTGCAACTGGGCTAAAAATCCAAAATGAATAATTCTAAAGGATCACGTTTGCCAGTAATTGATTATGAAGAGCCTTTGTCAGGGTGATCTTTCCAAGTTCCTTGACTTCCCCAGTAAAAGCATTTACGGATTCAGTGTGAATGCCTGCCCCAAAGAACACTGTACCTATTGTAAGCAGATCTATTTACCCATTCAGAGCAACTGAGATCCCAACCTCACAGTCTGCCCTAGAATGGGGGTGTTATCAAGGGACCAATACCAAGACTGTAGACACAGGGTATAAACAGACATTGCCAAGTGAAATGGATCAGCTGTGGTAAGATGTCACACTAATCCACTTAATTGGGTAAAACATATGGCCCATCGTCTTCCATTGGACAAGGGCCTGATCCCACAGGACAATGGTCAATGTGTTCCCCGCTTACAGAAATATGCCTTAGACTCCCTGGGCCACATCTCTAAGCAGGGAAATCTACAGGCTTCAGGCAATCTTGGAGGCTTCTCTCTAAGTGGGGTGCCCCAGCTTTCCCTGCTTACAGAGACATGCCCCAGCAAAATCTTCCAAGGCATGTGTAAGCGGGGAAAACTGGACAGGCACTCCTGGGACTTGTGGGACCCTATCCTGTATGGGAATTCCTGGGGCATAGAATCAGGCCCCTCAAACCCTGGAAGTGCTTGCCCATGCAATTGGAGATCATGGGTAGCTTCATAAAACTAACATGTATGCCACAATAAAAGCAGGAGGAACGATTACCACCTTTGTCACAGCCACAAATGGTGGGCATTTGTGGTGTGAAAAGGAGTAGACATCCATTTGCTTGGCCTTTATGCCACCATAAAAATGTTTATCGTCTATTTACACCTACAGTGTCTGATTAGCTCTGACCGTGTTAGTTCCCAGGACCAGGATGAGTAGGTCAGATTACCTAACTGGATGCCCCTGTTGTCATAGCAGCTGTCACACACTCGCACAGGTGCTGAACCCCACCCCCGCTCTGGGACAGGGCGGGACTTGGATGAGCAGCCATCACAGAAGCCCTCTCCACAGGCCCGGCAGTGATGTTTAGTATCGTTATCTTTAAAGGGTATGCCACACTTGTTGCAATTCTGAAGATGACAAAACAGAAAGAGAAACTGTCAGTTCATTTTTCCTAACTGCCTTTAGCATGAAGAGCATCCAAAAAGCCAGAGCCTGCAGCAGCAGGGAGTATGGCACACCTGGACCCTCTATGCACTCCCATTTTACCAGTCTGTCTTTCACTGAAGTTTCATAGATTAAAAACGCCACTCTGGGTGGTACAAACATTGTCCATCTGGCCCCAGGATTTCAAGCCTAGAGAAAGGTTCTGGCTAGGGTCAACATCATTACCATGATCCCTGTGGTCTTAATTATGATTGTATACTGCTACGCTTTCCTGGATACCTAGAGGCCTACCAGCTGCACTGTAGGTACAACGTTAAGATGATCATTTCCGTTTTTGCCATCTATCTGCCCAATTCCTCTCCTGGTTCTCTGGAAGGAACTGAGAGACTTTTTCTAATTGAATAGCCAGGGCCAAGTTTTAATCTTCAGCTTTATATTTGGTGCAAGTCAGCAGCTCTCATTTTTGTGAGAATGCAAAACTAGGCGCCTAGGACTTCAAATGTGGTTCTTTAAACCCACAGACAGGATCATGGGAGCCAGCATTTTCATCAACAGTATTGATGGGGTGAAAGGGTCTACAATAGGGAGGGGCAATTAAATGGGGGGACAGAAGGGTAAGAATGATATCTGATTCTATGTTTAACCTTTCTCGAACTGAACCAAAACATGGAACTAGCAGGGAGCTTTAAAAGAAGGTTAGTTTTACTTGCAGTCCTAGGGATGAGAGGTCTGAAACCAAACAGATATTTTATTATCTTAGTAGTGGTTGGCAGAAGGGAATTTTCAGCTATGCACAGAGAGAAGCATTTTTCTTAAGAGCATGGAGGTGTAGTAGTTCTGGTGTACCAGGATCTGAGAGTTGGGTCTCCAGTAGGCAGGAGCAATCTGGTCCGTCAGCCAAGAGGTCACAGCTTTTGTGGGTCCCAAGCTAAGCTCAGACACGGACTGTGCCATGAAATTCATCCCATCTAGCAGACGTTGAGCTGCATTATTGTTGTCTTTCAGAAATCCATCCGTCTATAAAATAAAAATGTGGATTTATGTGATAAATTTAAGAATTTTACGAAATTTAAGAACTGACAGGAAATCTCATTTCTCACACAGCCTTCCCTCAGAGCAAAATGTCCATCCATCACTACTGTTAAACTTAAGCATTGCACCTGGAGGTTCTGCACTTCTTCTTCATAGGGCAAAGGGGGATTGTAATGATGTAAGCATTTACCCCAAGAAATCTAATACCAACTGGGTCAATTCACAGCCCCTTTTCCTTTCAAGCTAACCTGATTACTGTACAACATGTTGTGCAACGCTTTCAGAGGAGATGGAACTTCCTCTCTGTCCTTTGTGGACATTGGAGATTCTATGATACTTTGTTAGAGGAAGGGTTTTCCTGAGTGTGTCTTTATACCATTGTTTTCTAGAATGCTGTGCATGGTTAGTTTTCACAGGGAATGTGTGCATGGAACAGTTCAGAAGGAAAGCCACTAATATTCTACATTTTTGTTTAGACTTAACAGATCTCTTCCATTTCTGATGATTTAAGTTTTCTAACTCTTCACACACACGGCCACTGTAACATGGTTCACTAGTACCATCTCCAATCCAGTTTTTAATGTCTGCCCAGACAAAATTGACAGCCTTTTACTCCATGGATCCCACACTTAGAAAGATGCTCAATAGTCACAGTACTACCACTACCTAAACACCCTTCCACTACCACCCCATTCTCCAAAACCACCTCACCAAAACTTACTCCTGGCCACACATGCTCGATTTCCGTCCTCACCACTGTGTCCACAGGATCTTGGTTTCCAAACCAGTATTGTCGGCTGCGGTATACCACTCCACAGTTAGGGCACTCAATCACATACCTTTGCAGGGAGTAGACAAAGAGAAGAAAGGGTCACCTTAGTAAGGAACTGGAGGCCAAAGGATCTGGCAAGAGGAGAAAATATGGAAAAGCAGAGAGACTCCCTGCTTCTGTGCTCACCCTGACCAGGCGTACTTGGCAAGGCCCAACCAAGGCGAGTCAGTGGAAGCAGACGTTTTGGGCACCACGCTGACCTCCTTCCCTCGTTCGTAACAGCCCTAGAACATGAGTAATAAATTAAAATGGCATATCTTGGAACTGTGAACTCCATGATTCCCATAGCCATTTGGTCATAAAGGGAATAAAGGCTGTATTTGGTGTTTGTTTGTGGAGACTGTTTGCTAAAAAGAGATCACATGATGAATCCCATGATTGGTAATGGCGGTTTTGTGCATTATTTCCCAGGTGACTTCATTAGCCTAACAACAGAGATGACTAGGGCTGAAAAACTAAGCCTCCCACAAGGCCATGTTACACTCAGCTCAGAGAAATCAGCTACTGTAAGGGTGGGTGTAAGGAAGTGGGGAGAACAATTAAAGTGTACTCAGCATGCTGAGACTGAAGGGCAACATGTAATGCCTGGTTCATCTTGAGATTTGGGAGCAAAGCTGGTGATTTAGTTAGTTAGTGAACAATACCCACAGTGTGATTGAGTTGCATTGAAACAGAACAAAAACCGCAGTGCCATTAAAGATCAACAGGGGTCTTGCTCTTGTGTCAGTGCCAAGGGCTGCTCCTACAAATCTCCAAAACAAAAGGAACATGCAAGCGATACTCCTCATTCATGGGCATTTTTACACATGCTGTGGGATGCACCACTGGGCACTTTAATTAGTGAGCTCTGCTAATTAATAAGTGCCCATGCGTCTCGTATATCAATGTCACCGCGCATCCCCACACTGAAAAAGTGGCAGTGGGGTGCTTTGATCTAAAGCTCAATCATGTTTTATTTCATAGTGCCTCACCACCATTTTTTCAGTGCAGAGATGCATGGCGGTGCTGATACATGCAACGCAGATGGCTGCCAGAGTATGTCAATTTTCATGCTCCAGCAGACTCAGTTAATCCAACGCCCTGGCTTTCCAGCATGTTGCAGCAGGCTCCACGCACATGTATAGGAGCCCATAAGCCTCAGTTCTCCTTCTCTCTTCCCCTCCATTTCCTGGATCCTGTCCCTACAACTTTGCTTACCTTGCAAGTATAGACTCTGTTGTCATACTGGTGAGAGTATCTGCATCGGCTCCTGGATTCATGAGGAATTCCTTCTTTCGCATGGTTCATACTGTTTTTGCAGCCACATCTGGAGTTCAAATGCAAGCAGTGAGCCAGCTATAAAGTCAGTCAATCTGACACTGGACAAATCTCAACATAACGTCAGTTATGTTATTAACAAACAGGTATAGTCCTGCTAATCTCAAACCTCTTCAAAACGTGTATATCTAATACTGATTTTATCTGTCACTGAAACGTCTGAGTGAGGTAAAGCAACCATTTCGCATCACAAAACAGAACTACGGAACATTTTGGTGCAGGAAATGAATATTGTACCTGGTTTGTAGAAAATCTAGATGGAACTAATCAAATCTAGAAATTGGCCAAGATACCTAGGCTAGCTTCCCAGCTCTTACAAAGTGTGCTATAGAAGAATCTCTAATGACCTCAAAAATTGGCAATTTAGTTTTACTTTTTATTTGACAGATAGGACTTCCAGCAGAACAATCCATTGTAATCATGCTCATACAGCTCAGTATGATTTAGGAGCACTGTCCAGCACTTATTGATTCATCAACCCCATGCCCAGGACTTTCTGTAGAGAGGTCTTCCTCTCAAGTTCCAATCAAGTCCAACTCTTTCAGGTATGCAAAATTTTTGCAGCCCAGGTCAGCATGGCTGCTACTCACAGGCCATACGTTACAGTTCAACATTGGGTAAAAATGATCAAAGCATACATCTACACAATCGGCTATTTTAACCTAACAGGAATAACTACCAGTGGAGCCTTTCTAACTTCTGAGGATTTTTGTAGATTGCCCATTTCTAACTCCACCCTATGATGGGCTTTTGCAATTTGGAGACCATATACTTACATATGCTATTTGTGGAGGAGACACAGGCAAAGAAATAACAATAATACATGAAAAACCGAGGACAAAGACCATGCTATCTAGCTGCAATGTGGCGACAGCCATTGTCAAAGTATATAAATTAAACCGTTTTTCAGCCAGTTCAAATAGTTTCCGATTTAAAATAAAAACAGCCAAATTCTGTATTTAAATGTTAAGGTGGTACCACACTGATGTCACTTCCTGATGCTTCTTTTCAGGGTACTTGTGACCTCACAATGACAATACATTCTGATGTTAAATACCCTGACACTACTAAGCACTAGAAGAATGATAGCTTGTTTCTCATGGACTTACCCACAGCTGAGGCATACAGAGGAGCAAGTGAAATACTCATCTGGAAAAAAGGAGCTGTGAGCCATCTGCTCATCAGGGATCTCACCACTGAACCGGTCACTCAGTGCCTGTTAGAGAGAGAGAGAGAAAAAAAAATGGTGAGGAATTCAGAGCAACAGAGAGTGATTCCCCAGGTCAGTAAGAGCTTTCTGTTAAGATGCAGGTCTTCATGGACATCCCGAGATGCTCCTCATAGGTGCCCAATCAGTTCTTCTTTTGGAAGAGAGAACTATCTGGGCATTGCAGCTAATGAATAATGGATTGCTAATTAGGAAACCATACCAGCCTGAGCCACAAAGAGAAATGCAAAATCCCCTCCGTCTTCCTTCTAACAGAAGGACAGTAACCAAACAAGACCAATTGGCAGCGAGATGGGTTGGGTGATCTCATGAATATTTTCCATCTTTGGAGTTCTGTGAATGGGCAAAAAGGATTGGAGAAAACAGCTTATATACACCCAAATGAAACAGTTGGGTGAGGGGTAAAAAAGGGGATTTTGTTGCTTTTCCTGTGGGATTCAAGTTTGCCCTTGCATGCTTAATATATTTGCTGGGCTTCAAACTAGGTGACGTACATTAACTAATATTGATTAAGGTCAATGGAAACCACAGGTAGCGTCATGTAAAATAGTTTAAGTGAGGTTCAGGGCCTGGCTGTACCCTGTAAAAAGCTACAATTAGTGTATTCAAGAGCCAGAGTAATGTTGTTTTAAAAAGTTGTATTTGTACACGTTTTGATATACGTGCCATGAAACTTGCCCTACCTCCACTAAGCACCCTGGTGTCTGTCTTAGGTTTCCCTGCAGTACTGAAGTGTTGAACAAATTGAAAGGGTAGGATAAGCTCAAGTTAAAGATTTCGCCACACTATCTACATTTCATACAGATGAATCTCAGTCAAACAATTCCTTTCTGCCAATCCCTCAGGAGATTATGCACGAAGTATTATTATACTAATACTAAACACCTGATTATTCTATTTTGCAAGGTATTTGGAAGAGATCATATCAAGCAAGGGTACACTGTATGATACTGTTTTGAAAAGTACTGTCCATCTTGCCACTGGTTTGGGGAAACCAAGTCTTTCAAGGTCTTTGTAGTAGTGAATTAAGGACAGGAAGTTATATTATTCCTTTCACTTGCACCTTATCACCAAAGCCTCTTTCTTTTCATATGGCTATCACCATCAAGTTAGCCTGCTGACATATGGAACTGCAAGCTCATCCAGCACCTAGCAAAAGAAATCGCCGATACCACCTGTTAATTTGCTGGCATCTTGGATCCCTCTCAGGAAGGCTTCAGACCTAAGTATGGTACAGAGGGAGCTTTTATTTTGCTCTGCCTCAATTCCAGAAAGCTCAAAGGGATTATTAAACACTCTGACTTAACTAGCTCAAGGTTTTGTACAAGGAACATGAAAAAAGCTTCATCTCCAAAGTCTCACAACTCAATCCTCTCCCATATTGTTCACCACCTCTCAGAAGCCAGTGGAGAGCTACTGAAACACAAGCAATATACAGATGGCAGCAGAGGTTTACATATCCTTTATATCCAACATAAACAGTACCAGCTGCCAGCTCTCCCAATAATGAACTCAAGACCTGGATGCAGAGCAAATGAACCAAGGCAAGACACTGGTGATGCTGATAAGAAATGAATAGACCTAAAGGACTTATTTCCTTGTAATAACTCCCACCATAGAAATAGGGTGAGGGGACTTCTTTTTAGAGTCAGATTATAATTTTGGAATCTTTAGACACTGTTTTGCTGGATGTCCACATAGCCATGGTAACAAAAATTGCTGTTTCCATCTGGGAATGGTCTATAGAGTACAGTCTATCCTATCAGATACAAACCTGGGTATAACACTCTGTAGCCACATGCCTGGAAAAAGCTGCAACTGATATAAAATGCAGCTGCCAGTATTAGTAATAGATCACTGGGATCACATACTGCATACGTTCTGCCCTCAGTACTGACTATCCACTGATTACAGAGTCCAGTTCAAGGGATCAGCTCTGATGTCCAGAGGCCTCCCTTAAATTGGCTACAGCTAAATAATATCCCTTGTCCCTCCACAACCAAGATACCTTTTACAACAGCTAAATTCAACTAGACCACTGGAAACATCCCACTAATAGGAGGTAGCTCGAGAATGCAAGAGGAAGATGCAGATGATGAAACTTTCCAACCTAGAAAGAGATAGTAATGGCCACAGAACCAACTACTGTCCAAACTAAATGCAAACTCATTTCTTCAGTTTAGTGTGGGAAAAAACAAACATCAGTGAGCTAACAAACAGAATTGCTGCCCCAAGCAAATCCTGCAGGACAGTGGGCAAGTAGGAGGGGGGCTGGGGGGGGGGAAGGGTGAGAGGAAGGGAGAGAGGGACAAATGGTTCCGAGGACATGGGACACAGGATTCAAAAGCGGAGGTGGGGGGCCTCTGTAAGGATGGGGGATCCCTCTTGCCCACCCCTAGTTATGCTACTGCCAAACATGCATTGGATAAAAACAAAAACTCAGTCTCCTTTGGTTTGGAAATTAAGAGTATCCCCAGATACTCTGGGGATAATAATCCTACAAATATCTCAGTCCATCTAGTATGCTTCCATTCTCAACACTCCATCTCCTGTTCCCACCTGCCTTTCAATCCACTGGCACATCTCACTCCTCCCTTTGCCCCTCCTAGCTCCTTGAATATACTGTCTGTATCCCATGCCAAGATTTCCTTGTTTGTAACTCCTTTGGAAAGCCCAGCAATTTGGTATGGAAGGTACCCTTAAGAAGCTCACTAATAGCTTCTTCCTAGCCAAGTCTATGGGTCTTCCAGTGCTCCTACAAACCTTTTCACCTCAACTTCCAGGGTTACCATCATTTCTTTTACATTTTCTTTCCCCTAGAAAGAACCACCCAACTTATTCATCTATTATAAGTCGATCTGTACTAAAAGACTGCCTCTTGTCCAGATAACTGGAATTCTGCATTAGCATTCCGTGTATTCTAACTCTGTTAGGTGCAAGGTATTTAGCAATGGTGTTACAAATATGAATAAGGACACTTTGCACATTGGTCCAGCTCCCAGTGAGCCACATTTTGCTACAGATGACTTACTTTCAGCGCTTTGTAGATAACCCCAGGTTGCCGGGGAGAGCGCGTTGTATTGTTCTCCAGCTGCTGCTCTATAGCTCGCCTAAGTCCCGAGAAGTCTGTAGGGGGATTGTAAGTCCTTGTTCCCTTGTAGTGAATTGAGCTGAAGGCTTCGGGGAAACAGCTTAGTTTTCGAAACCGATCCTGAATGAGTTTCTCAGGCACCTCGGAGGGGTGATCTAAAAACACATTCAAAAGCAGCAACAGGTACATTAACAACAGTTGATTTAAAACAACACTTAATCATGCAGTGTTTTAACAGTGTCAAGTGCTATACTAACATTCCTAACTAACTCTCATCACACTTCTGTGATGCAGATAAATTGGCATTGCTCTATTTCACGTGTAGGAAAAGGGAAATACATTTTCAAGAGGTGGTCTCTAATTTTGAGTGTCCATCTTCAGACCCTAAAACCAAGTTTTAGAGATCCTCTAAAACTGAAATCACTAGCAACTGCAGTTGCCAAACAAGTTCTAATGTCTTGTTTTATGAGTCCAAGCTAGGCACCAAAAATTAGAGGCCATATCTGACCCTAAATAAACACTCCAAAAACAGGGTTTGTTATAACCCTACAGTCCATGGCACCAAGCTGCCACACCACATCATGAGAAGCCTAGTGTTCACGGCTGATCGCTGCTCTGTTCTTTAGGCTCACCATTCTCAAGATGATTGTTCTCCATGAAGGCCGGTGTAGGAAAGAGGAAGTCTTTATCAGCCCTCCTCTATGAAACACAACCATAGAGAATGGACACTTTCAGGCCAAATCACCAGCCACACTAACTCCTAGAACCAGCTTCCAGCAATAGCATATTCAGACTCACCCCTCCCCTAAAAGTCACATGTATCCCATAACTGTCCCTCAATTATAAGTAACTGTGCATTGCTGCAAACCAATGTATATTAGGGAGACATGCCACCTGCAGCAATCAGCTGACACCCCAAAGCATATGCTTGTATTACCCTGCATTTGCACACCAAGCCACAAATGTCATTACTGGTCATAATATTAACCAGTTCCAGCATTTGACTCTGACCTCTGAGGTAGCAAATTCTACCAGTTGACTAACATGCTGTGTGAAATGTGACTTCCTTCACTGCTTTAAAAATTACCTGGTCAAGATGAGAGGGTGTTGCCATTTTTGCAGGACCACTTTGCTGATTAGAAATGCACTTTAAAAAGACAGGTAGGTGCTGTCCCAAGTCCCTTGGACTTTCTATTCCCCATGAACTCTCTGGTCAGTTAAAACAGCAACAATAGTGCAAGTTGCTAGGACTTGAGTTGTTGTAGTCTTGCATAGCAGGTAATTTCCAGATGTTCCCAAGCAGAAGGAAGGTAAGCCCTGCCTGTGGTGACAGAGCCACCTGAAAGTACCAGAATTCCCCTCAAAGACTGGGGAGGACACGGAGAGACAAGTGGATTCACAGCACACTTTGAAATGGATACATCTGGGGAGAAATCTGTAGATTCTCTTGAAGTCAAAGGCAAAACTCTCATTGGTTTTCCAGGAAGCTAAGATTTCACCCAGAGACATGAAGATAAGTAATATATTTTAAAATATGCTTTATGCAAATTGAGTTTAACATACCAGCAAAGGAAGTGGGAGGCAATGAGAAATGAAAGCAGTGGGCTACCATCCTTTAGGACACAAAGCAAGCCCCTACTGGCTCCATTGCACTTTTATGCTGCTGTATCAGTCCGTCTGCCACTGGCCTCCACCGTCACAGTCCCATTCCCATGCCTGCTTAGGAAAGGTCCCAATCCACAGAAGTCATTGACTGTGCCAGGGGCAGGGTACACATTCAGCAACAAGTCAGTCTCCTTTACTCTTGTTAGTATGCAGGTATAATTTATTGTTCATTCATTTATTGTTGCAAGAGGACCCTCTGCACCCCTGCCTAAACCTGAGGGTCCAACCAGGTTCACTTTTCCAAACTGTACTGCAGCTTCCACGGCCCAATGCTGCAGTCATCATCCTAGGTTAGAGAATCAGACTGAATTCTCTTCAGAACTAGTCAATGCTGGTCCCTAACTGGTGCTTGATATTGCTCTAGGCCACACATTTACTCAAAGTAGAGCCTCTTACCTCCTCAGTCCCTCTGCCAGCCTGGACCATGAAAAAGGCCAGGTCTCAAATCCAGTTCAGATCACTGACTACTAGGTTACAGATCTAGTTTAACAAACAGATCATGTTCAGACACATTTTGATTCCAGACCTCTTTCTCTCTACTTACCAGAGCCCAGGAGCTTGGTGTACACAGTCTCATGAAAGATGATCACTCCAGGACCTAGGGTGGACAAGGGAACATCTAGACCACAACGGGCTGTAGTTGCCTTCAGCTCCTTGGTGAAATGTTTCAGGTAGGCCTCTGAAGCATCCCCAAGGAATTTGAAGAGGTCATTATGGAGTCTGTCAGCACGGGTACGATAGATGACAAGATCAGAAATGGCCAGGACCTTCAGAAGCAGCCGTGTTCTCTGGCTCAGATTCACAGTAGCTCCAAGCAGACCTTCTGTGTCTATTACCACCACTTTGCGGACAGGGTCATAGGCTACCCATACACCAACTGTACAGGACTCTTGAGCTGGAGAGGTCTTGAAGACCTCTCGACCATAGAAGAAAGTGTGATTAAGGGTGTGTGACTTGCCATCTCCAGTGTTCCCAAAGATGGATACCACCTTGAGATGCTGGTCAGGTGTGCAGTCCAGTCTTTTAATAAAGTCTTCTTCATTCTTCACCTTCCAAAATAAGAAAAATGACAAAGATATTATAGCTTGAAACTTGAGAAGCCAATACTATAGCAGTGTCGGCATTAGCACTTATGAGGTTAATAGGGAAAAGCAGCCATTGTTTAGGTCCACTTGCAAGCCTTTCAAGCATATAGAAGCACCAAAGGGAAGTAGTGGCCAAATCCAAATGACTTTCAATGGGACACAGGTTCCGATGTCAGAGGTGCTTTTGAAAATGTTGCTCCCCATCATTACTGATGAAATTAAGCCTCCTTCATATCCTATTACCAGCCTTTCCAATGTAAGGATAGCTTTACTCTACTAGGATTGAATAGCTTAAGCAGATTTGTGAAAGCTGCAAGACCTGATGTTCCACCTCCTAATTTGCTAGATAATGCCTTTTCCTACAAAAATTAACACACACCAGTGACTAAACATAATATGCCAAGAAAGCAACTGCCCTTCAGTACACCTAGGTGCTTCCCTTGTTCATCTGCATGGATTAAGTTACACTTTTCATTTAGATGAAAGTAGTGTGGGACAATGCTGCTCAGATACTAGAGTAACAGAGGCCATATAAATCAGGTAATTAAACAGATATGGCAAACTCTCACTAAACACCTCATTTCTGTTGCAGAGTATTGGTGAGCTAGAGCTCAAAGGTTTCATTCCTCCCAAAGTCTTGTTATTGTAGTGTGTCCCTTGTGTAAGACCCCTTCAACAGGTCTTACCTCAAGACAGTGTGGGATATAGGAGAAGCATAATAGAAAAACTTAATGAAAAAGGTCAATTTCAGACTATTCCTCTCGAGTTTCTCCACAAGGCCCTCTTCAGCTACAAGAGGACAGGGATTCCCCTTCTACTTTTCAGGAATGACTGAGGGGTCCTTGGCCATTCCCCAGGAAAGCCCCTTCCCCCATGTTATTTTTTTTTTACAAGGCTCCCCCAGGCAAATACAGTTTGAGCATCTCAAGATGCAAGATCCACAAAGGTCAGGAGGCAGTGAATGGTTTCTTTGAACAGATTTATTCTTAGATCAGTGATTCAGTTCCTTAAGCCTCACCCTACCCCACCCTGCTACAGTCAGATCTGTTAGAAGGATTCAGATTCCACGTCGGCAAAAAAAAAGTTGGTTTCCCAAAGAGTAGCTTGGAGAAGTATTCAGATTTTAAAGGCCAGGAAGCTACTCCCTGGCTCAAAATATTTAAGCGTATTCCCTAGCATAAGGGAACATAGAAAAAACAACCATTCTTCTCACATCTACGGTGACCATGTTATTTTTAAGGAAATCCAGGTCACTCTCCCCCACCCCTCCCCATAGATCCCTGCCACAGGCAGGAACAACAGAATGCCCTGCCCAACCCCTCCACCCCCGCCCCACCACCCAAAAGCGGCTTGCCAGTTCCACATCTACAAATGCAAAGCAAAGCCCTGACCAGCTTCAGGCCCTGATTTTATTGCTCTATTGCTGACCCTACATTTGAATGGGACAGCCTCAGCCATTGGCGATGCATACAGGGTGCACATGCACCCCGAGATCAGCCGTGTACCCCCTGGAAGTGCCAGCTGCAAAACCAGAAGTCCAGTTTCGTCGCTGGCTTGGCAATCGGCTGCTGGGGACCCCCCCAGACTTAGGAGGCACCAGTTGCCCACGGCCTCAATTATAGTTATCACAGTACTGTCGTCTGGCCTGCAGGGCTTCTCACAGACCTGTGGAAAACTCCAGGCCCTGCACACTGGATTGGGCAATGCTAGGCCCCCAGGGCCCATTCCTGGTGTGCAGGGCAGGGAGGGACAGCATCAGCCCATGGGGCCAAAAGCTTGAGCACCACCACTGATCTATACCATCCCAGGCAAGCGTTTGTCAAGCCTGCTCTTCAAAACTCCACAACTTCTCCAGGAGACCTGTTCGAATGCTTAACCACCTCCCGGCATGAGAAGGTTCCTTCTAACTTCCGCCTTAAAATTTCTCCTGCTGCGATTTGAGACCACTGTCCCTAGTTCCATTCCCTGCAGCCACAGAGAATAATCCATTTCCATCCATTGTACAATTACCTTTTCCTCAAGTATTTTGAAACTTTTATAATATCCCTCTCAATCTTCTCTTCTCCAGACTAAGTAATCTTAGCTTTTTCAGCCTTTCCTCATAAGCCTGGCTACCCAGACCCCTAATCATTTTTGTTGCTCTCCACTGGATACTGTTTAATATGTCCGTATCTTCCTTGAAGTGCAGGGCTCAAAACTGGACTCCAGATGAGGCCGTACCCATGTCAAACAGTGTAGGAGGATCTCTTCCCTTATAGTACATGTGCCACTGCTGTTTGTGGCAGGGCACTTGAGTGCCTGCCACCTAGAGTCAGCTGACCCAGGGAGTTTGCAGGTAGGGCTAGGCCAGGAAGAGGGAGTCACTTGACTCAGGAGGAGAGCTGGGCTTAGAGCAGGTATAAGCCCCAAGAGAAACTGGCAGTAAGATCTGGGGTTTGCTAAGAGAATACCACCAGCTCAGCAGGATGGCTGCAGCTCCAGAAGGTCAACATGGAGGGTAACACCTAAAGCAGTCTGCAGGTCCTGGGGTGAACCAAGGAGAAGAGGAGATTCCTACAGATCCAGGGAGGGGTCTGGAGCTCAGATTAAGGGGCTGAGCATGCGAAACCAGAGACTGCCCAGGAATCTATTGAGAAACTGAGTGTATGGGACCAAAGGGGATCCAAGACCCCCAGAGGAGGGGCTAAGTGGAAATGAACACCAAATGAGGATGCCACCTGCAAGGCATGAGGCACGGTGTAGAGGAGGAATGGAGTTACGCAATTAGCCCAGAAGGCAGGGACCACTGGCACCTGATGGTCATTTGAGAGACATCTGGAAAGCCCTGAGGCAGCCTCCCTCATATCAAGACATCAAGGCATGGCAGAAGACTGAAGGGGTGGGCGATTGCCCAGAAAGTGAGGGCTGCAGGAACTCCAGGGGCTTCATGGCCACCCCTGGAAGAACACCCCGTTACACTTAATACAACCAAGTATGCCGTTGACTGCTTCTTCCCCCCACCCCCAATAAGATCATACTATTGACTCACATTCAGCTTGTGGTCCACTGTAACTCTAGGTCTTTCCTCTGCAGTACTGCAGCCTAGCCAGTCATTCCCCAGTCAGAATAATTGCATGCAATTATTCTGGTCTCAAGTTCAGGACTTGGCACATGTCCTTGTTGAATGCTGGTAGAAGCAAAGGGTTACAAAGAGCTACAGCAGGTCAGCTCTATGCAGCACGCCCACCAATAGAACAACAATTTATCTTTGTCTGATTCAACTCCTACAAACTCCGGAGCTGGTCCAGGGCCTAGCTGGGCCCAGATGTTTAAGGGATATGAATGTGTACAGCTCTCCTAAAGTTCCCAACAGGCTGGTCACTTGAAACACTGAACCATTTTACCCCTTTCCAATGTACTGAGGGCAGAATCCCATTTTACTTTACATGCCCAAATGGCAGCTACCTAGCTACATAGCCACTGTCTGTGGCACTTGAGCACACTTGATCCTCCTTCTCCACCTGCAGAGTTATGTCCACACGGCTACTAAACAGGAGCGGTAGGCTGCATAGCTTCTGGGCAGGAACGCAACTCCTATGTGCAGATGCTGGGCAAACATAGGTCTTCAAATTCTACCAAGCCAGAGGAGGAGCTCCCCGTGCTGTAGCTACAGCTGTTCAAATGGCAGCCTATAGGCCAAAGGACTAACTTGCGGCCTGCAGGCTCCCGCCCAGCCACCACTCCCCACACTGCATCTTCTGCCACTGCTGGGGTCTCCAGGCACCTCCTCCAGCTTCTACTTCTTGCCCCTGCCCCAAGATGCGAGGCACCATAACTAGCAGAGCCCATGGAGTCTGTATGGCTTGTGCAGCTGGGAGGGACCCAGCTACTATGAAGTTGGACAGCCCTGTTTTATCCTAATAGCCGAGTGATTAGAGCACTTACCCATGAAACAGGAGACCCAAGTTCTAGGTTCCCTTGCTGAGAAAGGGTTTGAACCCGCTTCTCATGCACTTTCCTGCATGAGATACCAACTTGCAATGTACAGGTCTGACATTATCCAGTGCCCCCCACCACTTTGGGGTTATGTTCAGGTATGCCTGTTCCTACCCAACTGGAGTACAGCCTACCAACCATGCACAGTAGCCATGAGGCCACTTCCATATGGAGATTGCATGTGGAATAGGATAATAAGCTATATTTAACAGTACCAAAAGTGGCAGTTGTGCAGCTGGGCAATTGGGCAAGCAAAATGAAACAAGATTCTGCCCTATGCTTACCTATGCTTGGAAATACAACTGAGAGACATTCATGGAAGTCAAGAGGTTTCCCCAGCCAACGGCCAATTTCCTCCCAAATTGGGTACCTTTATGTCCGTCAGAGAACCTCAGTTTTCATCCCAATTGTAAGGACGAGAAATACTGGACTTGAATGCTTTTTTGTTTGTTTTTTTTTTTTTTTCTTCCCCACTTCTAGAAAAGGCAACAATCCACCGGGGAGCAAAACACTCAGGTTTCATCCTAATTGTGGTGATGCCAACAATGGGCAATAGCCATACATTTAACACAGGGGTGGGCAATTATTTCAGGCAGAGGGCCACTTACTGAGTTTTGGCAAGCCATCGAGGGCTGCATGACAGGCAGCTGGGGACAGATAAATATTAAATTTTCTAAATTTTTTAGGGGCCCCATGGGCCAGATAGAATGGCCTGGCGGGCTGCATCTTGCCCACCCCTTTTTTAACACAATCATGCATAGCTGTAAAAGCTTCTTTAATTGCCTAAGAGCACCACACCTCTGACGCAATATCAGAAAGCAAAGAAACACCAATGACATAACAGGTTGACTTCAGAGCAGGAGCCTCCTGAATAACCACATATGTAATAAGTGTCTGAAACAAACTATTACTGTATTCAGATCATAGAAACGTAGATCTAGGAAAGGACCTCCAAAACAACACCCCAGATATCCAACTTCCTCCTGTGA